TATCTGTATGCAGGGTGCCTTTGTCAACATCTTTCTTAATTCTCTGCAGAGAAGGGAAAGACAGGGATGCTCAGTGAAACAGTTTCAGTGGCCCAAAGCATAGGAGGTCCAACTCTTCAAGACCTAGAAAGTAATCCACGGCGGTATGTGCCATTCTGAACTTACCACCCTACAGATAAGCCTGAATCTGTGCATTCCCACGCTGAAAATACAAACACTGTGACCCTGAGAAGCCACACAGGTAGTCACAGGGCGGCTCTGGAGCACCAGGCAGCTCACAATCAGTGTTCAAACCAGGACTACTACCCGCAAGGAGCCACAGCCAACTTCTGTCTGTGACAACCAGGCTACAACACAGACCCTGGGACTTGTGGCCGGGTGAAGATCACAGGATGCAGTTTAAGGGCAGGAATTTTGGCAGCCAGAGATGGGAAATAAATTGTCACAAAGGATTAAAACTGATTGTTTTGTAAAAAGAAGGAAGGATGGGCAGCACCAAGCAAACAGCAGATGCAAGGTCTTGCCTTTTACTCTGCCACAGAGAGGATCAGGTGCTCTCAAGGGACTAATTTAACATCCGTGCCTCTGCTTCTCTAGCTGTAACAGAAAGCAGATACCCACTGCACCAAAGTGGCACACGAGAACTTTCTACAGGACCTGCAAGGCCCTCTGGGGTTCTGCCCTTGAACGTTGAGCAGAAGCTCAGAGCGTCTGTGCTGTATCATCCGCAAGGCCCAAGTTCAAGTACAGATCTGTGACGAGCACGCAGACTTTCAGCCCCTGCCACCCCCCCATCTCCATCCCACTACTAGAGAGGCAGGGGTGACAGCTCGCTCTCTGTACTCAGCCCGACTGCAGCTGTCATTTTTAGCATTTGGGGTCCCACAGAGCCTTTTCGACAACAGTTTTTTCCTCCTAAACAGAAGCAGAACAGAAGCCCCACGTCCACTGCTACTAAAGGCAACAGCAAGGCACCAGCAAGAGCAGGATCAAGCCTCAGCTGAGGCAATTAAATGTGTAATTTTAAATGCGATTTTCCCTTGCTCCTTTCACTGTAAGCCCGTTCTCCAGCAGTCTTAGCAACATGCAGCATTTGAAAGCAGCACTATGCAACACCACTGTAGGAGGTCTTCTAATAATCTCATTATCCACCCATCCTTCATGCAGAGCTCCTACTTCCTTGTAATTCCCTTCCTCCTGGGGGCAAAGGCATTGCTACGCTGTGTAACTGCTTCCAGGATGCAGGCAGTGGATCCCAGCAGAAGCTGGGAGGGTTGGGTCCAGCCTTCAGGAAGACGAGCAGGGCTTGAGTGCACCTGAGAGTACAACAGCACGGTGCTGTCCTGCTCTTGCTGCACACCTGTACCCAACCCTGTGCCTTGCACCTAACAGGTTTTGTTATTGCAGAGTAGGCTGTGTTGTTAATACGTGGCCTAGTGGCCAACTCTCAGGAACAGTATTCTATTCTTAGAAAGGCAAACAACGTGTGGCTGAGGCATTGCTGTAACCTGGATGATGCTGAAAAGCCCTGGGGAAGGCTGCTAATGAAGTGCTGGAGGAAAGAGGAGAACTCTGCTCACAGTGCAGCAAAAATGCAGCTTCAGTTAGCTGAAGGACCAGGGTCTGCCTGTAGGGCTGTCTTGGGAAATTTGTTAGTTTGGGGCTGTGGCTCACGTGTCTTCTTGCTCTCCACATGCACCTAAGCGTGCCCATTAGCAAACTGAAAGACACATGCTCTTCAAGACAGGATGTCTATGCTGGAGAGATCCTCTTCTGTGCCATCACTTCAATGAAGTCAACAACTGCACTGTTCCACCTACTGTCCTCGAGCAACAGAACATCTGGCACACAAGGGACAGGAAGCCTGTAGGAACAAGCATTAATGACAGCGTATCTTCCGAGTAAGAGGTTATACAGTGATGACTCCTTCAGCCACTGCCAGTTCTCCAGCACATGGAAAACAAGCGAGTCAAGTTTTGGCATTGGTGAGTGGTTCTGAGGCATAGCTAGAGGAGCTCTGGTGTTGGAGACGTGGCTGGAGGGGCTGGGAGCTGCCCGCTTTGAACAGACCCTTGAGAGAGAGCCATCAGGGCACGAAGGGAACGAAACACCTTCTAGGAAAGGTGCTGTTAAGGACTGAGAAGGCCAATTCATAGCCTGGTGGTGCACGTACTGTGGCATCCGCAGCAGCAGCTCTCAAGTTCAAAGGGCTGTGAGTCACTGTGCCCAGCAAGTGCCATCCCCTGGCAATGTCTTCTGGCAGCAGAAGTCACCAACGAGCTGCAGGCTGCGGAAAGCTGAGATACAGCAGTCTTTTCAGTCTGTCCCTCACCTTGACCAAACAGCCCTCCAAGCCTCACCTAAGCCAGCAGCTGGTCAGGGATGGATGGGCAGAGGAGAGGAAGGGGGAGAGACGAGCAGAAGACTTCACACCTTGGAGGGGAAGCAGCAAACACAGAGAGCAGTTGGCTTCACCACCGTGCACGCTGCGTAGAACAACTGCATTATTTTTCTCCTGAAAACCACATGGCTCCCTGTAGTAAACACGCCGCGTACGCAACATGACAAAGCTTCTCGGGCTGAGAAAACCCCAATGAGGTGGAGTGGGAGTTAGTTCTTTGTCGTCAGAGAGATGCTTGTTCTCCCCAGCTCACACTGGCTCAAAAGCAGACACTTCCCCAGCAAGCAGTACACCGCGACTGGAGAGATCAACCCCCCTGGCACCCCGTTTTTTTTAAACCACTCTGTCGGGCACAAGAGGCTCCTGTTCCCCCCGCTGTCCCTCTTGCCTCGAAGTTCCAGGTGTTTGCTTTCAAGCACAAAACTGGCTTGGATATCCACAGCCTATTGTTTGCACATACAGTTACAAGAGCTTTACAGGCATTAGCTAAAAAACATAAATTAGCTCCACCAACAGACAGCAAGATGCATGTTTCAAAGAGAAAGGAAACTGAGGCACG